AGTTTTTGCACTTGCTCGACTTGTAAAGTAGGCATCTAAAGACGGCCTCGTGCTCTGTAGCCATGGTTATCTCTCTTAGGCTTTGGCTGAACTCACCTAGGTTTGTTTCCTGTGTTTGATTACTGCACCCTCATTGCTGCCAGCATCACGTGTAGTTGCTTCGTAAGTCGGAGCTGTCAAAAATGTGGGATTATTTGCTTGTTCCTTGAATTCTGGTTTGCTTGTTTGTAGGCCGGGATCATTTCAATGCAACCACATAGTTGAAGCTGTGTACAGTTATGCTAGCATATGGTATCCTCTGCCCAGGGAATAGTCTTGATGAACGTGGGGAAACAGTGCTTAACAGGGGGTTGTTGCTGTTGGAGCAGTACAGCTAGCTCCATCCTTAGGTATATCTAGCAAAGGTACACTGAAGGTGCATGAGGAAGTAGGCGAGGGATTTCTCTTGAATGAAGAGGAACAAATGTGACAAAGATTACAGATTTAGTTCATTGTCTCATTCCTGGATCATTTTCTGTGAACAGTGCTTTACGAATACAGTGAAACTCCCTCCTGCAAACTTTTTAGTTGTTATCTACAAAAGTGTAACTTTCACGTTCTCAAGACAGGTTCAGTAGTGCTTAGTTAAACCCAGTAACATTTTTTCTTAATACATGCAGTGATAAGACCACAACAGAGACTAGCTTAACCTGTCCGTTCTCTTCCACATTGGTACTGAGACATAAATAAAAAATCTGGTTTCAGTGTCAGATAGGGATGGAAAAGTGGTTTCCACCTTTGTAAATAGCTTTAAGGAAGGCATGGAAGCATGACTTAGACACTGTGTTTTGCTTGTTTTTCTTTCTTTTACAGAAAAACTGGCTTTGTCACTTAAATCTTATATTCATACTGGTCTCGACATCTTTCAGACATAATGAGAGGTGGCAGATAAAACCATTGTCATTGCCATTACGTATGGTGATGTGAAGATAGTAAAAGAAGGGAAAATCTGGAGTTTCTCTTTGCCTGTAGGTATCCTGTGTCAGCAGTAGTACTACAGAGGTGGTAGTGAAATTACATAGTAATACTGGAGTTTTAAATTTTAACATGATCCCTTAGGAAATAAGGCTATCCGGGTAATTCCACAAATACTATATACTGATAGCAAGCTTGTCATACAGCCATGAGAAGCTTGTTGTGGGACTTGGATTTCTATGCAATGAGGGTTACCTTGTGTCTGTGGATTCCTGTAGATTTGTTGCTAGTTGTTATTTGACTAAGAGGAATTGCGACCCATAAAAAAGCTCCACTTCATCTGTCATAACAGAATGACACTTTCATTCAGCACTAGCATTTGCGCTCTCTTTTACCAGTGAGAAAATACTATCTTTTAAATTAAAAGTTCCTTATATAAAAGGAAATTAAGCCTTCCTTAAGGCCAGCCCTATCTAAAATTACTTCTGTGGGAGGCCGTGGCAACTCCATTTTGGTTTCATGCATCTGGGAATGAATAAAATGTCAAAATCATAGATAAATACATTAAAAGTGTAAGGAGAAATTAGCAATGCTTTGAATAAGTCACTGTTCCACAGATTTCAGCCACATATCGAATTCCCAAATTTGTCCAAAGTTTGAAATTGGTATCTGAAGATTTGCGAGACGCGTAGTTGTTCATGATGGATGGTCGTGCAGTGGTTGGAAAGCTGTCTCTTTCCATGAGCATCCTCAAACCCAGCTGAAAGCAGAGGATAATGTCTGTACTCAGTGTGGAGGAGTTTTGTGCGTGTTGCCTTTTAGTGTTATCCCTTTCTGACACACAGTGAATTTTATCCCTTGCCACAAGCCCTGATGAAGTGAAACAGGCATGCAGTGGCACAAAATTCTGCATTTGAAGTTCTGTGCCAATCTGTACTTCAGCCCCTTTTACTGTTACAGGAATATCTATGTTGTAAGAGGAAGTGGAGGCAGTAAGCTTATTTTATATGTATACAATGGTAACGTGAGAAGAAACTTTTAGTAAGTACCAAAATATAATTAATGTAGTCGTAAGAAGGAAGTAAAATTTTTCTGTTTATAGCAAAAAGAAGTGACAGCTACCTCACTGAGCCTTTCTTAACGTTAATTAAAAGTAGATATTTTTTATTTCTATTTCTGTAAACATGGGCAGAATAAAATAACAACTAATTCCACTGTTTGAGAATGAATGAATGATTACTGTGCTGTTGGGATCCCTAGTAAGATTGATAGGTATCCTTAATTTTAGAATTGTATTTTAAATAGATATGCTTAATATCCAAGACCTGGAGCAGTTTTTTTTAATGATAAAGACTTAATACTAAAAATAATTGCCTAACAAACTACATAATAACAGCCATTAATACAGAAATCTGCTGTGGTCAAATTACATTTCAAAAAGATAAGCTTATGTTCTGGAAGGTCAAATGGCATCTGATACACATCATATCACTGGAGCAGCTGAACAGCTTTCCAGAGAGGACACTGTATGCTGGGCTCCAAGGAATGACATAGATAGGTCTGTAAACTGTGGAAATCTGATAAACTTGTTTTCACTACTTGAGCAAATCTCTTCTGCGTGGAGTATTAAGGTACATGTCAATGTTGCTTCTTAGCAGCATCTGTACGAATAATTTGAAAACAAATATGAAATCTATACACATTAAAAATTCAAGCAGATTAATTTCATTGGTGGCTTTTGAAAATTTTCAGAATGCGGAAGTGTTACAGGAGCCTGGGTCACAACAAGTGTCAGATGGATTTTTATATATAGATATATATAAATATATATGTGTGTGTGTGTGCGTAAAATTTTCTTCGGCCTCTCTCTGCCTTCAAACCAGTGTTTGTTTTGGTTTTTTTCTAGGGTTTTCAGTCTGAAAATCTGGTTGTGCAAGAAACTAAACCTTTTTAAATATTCATAGGAACACAATATCATAATTTCAAACTGTTCCAGTTTTAAGAAGTTAAACTGACATTTCAAGGCTCTCTTTAAGACTTGCGGTGCTGTGCTGAGAAGAAAGATGGCTTGAGAAACATGTAGTTTGTTTCCTATGATTTGCTGTGGTGGGTCTCTGCATAGATCTTGATGATAGCTGGAAAGGTAACACTTTTATATGCATGGTACAGACCTTTCAGTAATTATAATCTACTAGAAACTTCTCCGTGGTGTTCTTTAATGTTCTGTCACATATTGAGTATCGAGGCAAAACATTCAATAAATCTCACCTTCTTGAACTATACTGCACTTTCAGTGTAGGTTATTTATTATTTGTGTGGCGTACAAAGCTTGCTGTGCGTTTATTTGCCCTTTGCTAAAGAAAGGTAGCCATCTGCTGCTGCTTCCTCCTCCTCTTCGTTCAGTGGCACATGGGTTTAGAGTAAAGGATTTGCCTCAAATGATTTAGAAGTAGCTTTTTAGTTAGCATGCTCTACAGTTAGTAGAAGTTCAATTAAGTGTTAATAAATAAGGGATTATCCATCATCTTTAGATATAGGGCCTTATGATACTGTATTCAACTTGTATATACCCAATTACTGTAAAACAGTTAAATGCATCATACATATATTTAGTACAATCTACCAAATACCTTTTGTTTGTGTGATCTGAAGTCAGTGTTTGAATTCCAAGTCATCCTCCTACCCCTGTTTCCTTCTCAAGGAAATAGCCTGTTTGTCTTACTGGTTTGACCTAAATACCTATGGTTTTTACTTTATATGTCTACTTTTTAAACCTGTCTGCATTCTTAGGCTTATTTACTACAGATCACTACATGTCAATTGTTTTTTGTCTTGGTCTCTGTTGTTTGGGTGCATTTATTGCATATAAAATATCCAGATTGATAACCTTTATAGTAGACTTCTTCCCCGCCGTAAATGACATTTTAGCCTAAGAAGGCCTTATTCAGAGTTACTGCCCCTCCTGTTGAAAACATTCTCATTACACTTGTTCCTGTTGTCCTTTCCACTGATGTAAGTTGGTCACGTCTGCTCATGGCTCTGTAATCAGGCGCTCTGCACTAAATCAGCTAAAATGTACTTGGAGACAGAACTGTGAGAAAGAGGCATGCAAAATGACCTCAGAACAGAAAACGTTGTTCATTGCTGCTTACCCTCCGGGCTTCTCGTTTGACACCTCCTCCGGCAGGTAGTTGCTCCCCTTGCTTTTGTCTAATGTCACTGTGGCTGCTTTCTTTGTTCCTGCTGTAGTGGATCATACTGACCTATTCGTCTTCTGTGGACCCTGGACCAGCGTCTGGAACAACATGAACATATGCAGTGCTGCTCTGGTCTCCTCCCATTCTGCACTGCTACAAAGTGCTATACTGGGTGGCGGGCGATGCCGTATGTGCATAGACCATATGGTATTTTCTCCTTAACCTACAGTTGGCTTGTTCATCATTCATTGTGATATTTTACTACATGCGTCTTAAGTTCAGTTTGTCTTTTAGAAGCTGTTTTTATTTGCTAGAATGAGTGTACTTAAATGGAAAACTTAATTTTGCAATAAACAGCTGTTGGTGGTGAAGGATATGACATAATACTATAGATTTGACTGAAGATATCCCATAAATGAAACCGTTAAAACGATGTCTGAATCATTATTGTTAAGGAATCAAGCAATGTAACTTGTGGGTCATTTTCATTAACATCAATATAGGGAATGGAGCTTGGAAAACTTGCCTCCTGACGAGTTATGTTTTCATGAGCACCGAATTTTGCCTTTAAACAGGGAGAAGCGCATTAATTGCGTGCTAATTGTGAGTTTTGTGGCAACTTGACTGCTAACTTGAGGTCTGTGTCTGTATCCACATTCTCATTCTTTGAATTGATCTTGGTATAATATTTTAAAATATTTTAAACAGCAGATGTGCATTGCTTAAAGATTTGTGTAAATGTTGATGCACTGTATACAAAATATGTCTCCCATACAATGATCTGTTGACATTATTCTCTGTTGCTTAGCTTCAGACAGTAAAGTCATGACATGTGCTGCTGTTTGGAGGATGCCGAAGGAATTGGAATCAGGCAGTCATGAATCCCCTGATGATTCATCAAGCAACACTCAAACCCTGGAGCTACTCTGTCACCTTGACAACACAGCCCATGGCAATATGGCCTGGTAGGATTCTGCATATTTTATACTCCTAGAAAAAGCCTAAAGGATAGACCTGTGCTGTTAGTTTTGTGCGGATTTATATTGTAGAAGCCATGCTATACACTTTAAAACTATTCCATCTTTTAAAAAAAAAAAAGAGAAAGTACAAATTGGATTTTTAGTCCCAGATGTTTCATAGATTAAAAGCATTTATTATAGTCCTGCAAACACATATGGAGTAACAGCCTGTGTACTGTTTTAATGTGTTTCTCCCCACCTGCCCCCATTTAAAACCTTTGTTGCACAAAGGTATGATACTTAGTATTTCAATCTTTTTATGGAATCTAAATTTGATGTTGCATTTCAGTCTTTGTTTTTCAGTTTGCACTCAACTGTTTTGGCATAAGTGCAAGTAATTTATTGTTTGTTAAGGATAAGAATCCATTATATTATATGGTGCCTGTTTAACTACTCTTTTCTCTTGCCTGGGAAAAGACAAGGAGAGCTGCAACACCGCAGAGGGTATTAGAGGTTTGTTTCCCTTTTCTTTCTGTTACTTAAAAGGAAGTGGAATTTGTCCATTGTGTATTTGCAAGCTGGGAACGTATATGACATGTTCCCACTGCTGAGGAGATACAAGGCAAAGAAGCGTAAGTATACTCAGTCCATGCTTTACCAACTACAATGTTGTTTGGCAGAATTCGAGAACCACCTGACCATCTTCCACTGGCAGGAAAATTTGAAACCCTAAGAATATGGGTTGCTGTAGTCCCAGAAGTGTCTGTCTGTCAGAAAGAATACAGCATAGGAGGTGATCATGCAAGTTGTACAGTCCCTTTCATAATTATTAGATAACTATAAGAAAAAATGTGGAATAACACACGGCAGATCTTTGTAAATTAAATGTTGCAACTGAAACCAAACAAGGATAATGCAACATTGTGGTGGGCTCAGATGGCAACTGAGCACCATGCAGCCACTTTTTCACTCTCCCCTCAGTGAGATGGAGGAGAGAAATGGAAAAGTGAGAAAACTTGTGGGTTGAGATGAAGGTAAAGCAAAAGCTGCACACATGAACAAAGCAAAACAAGGAATTCATGCACCACTCCCCATGTGCAGGGAGGTGCTCAGCCATCTCCAGGAAATCAGGGCTCCATCACATGTAATGGTGACTTGGGAAGACAAACACCATCACTCTGAATGTCCTCTTCTTCCCCCAGCTTTATATGTTGAGCATGACAGCATTTAGTATGGAATATCCCCTTAGTCAGCTGGGGTCAGCTGTCCCAGCTGTGTCCACTCCCAACTTCCTGCCCACTCCCAGCCTACTCACTAGTGGGGTGGTGTGAGGAGCAGAAAAGGCCTTGACTCTGTGTAAGCACTGCTCAGCAGTAACGAAAACGGCCCTGTATTATCAACACTCTTTTCAGCACAAATCCAAAACACAGCCCCATACCAGCTGCTATGAAGCAAATCAACTCTATCCCAGACAAAACCAGCACAAACATCAATATTGTATATCACTTTGTGTCTTATATGAATGGAAAGGGCCTCCTTGGTTTCTGTATTCGTACATGTGCTGTGTCAGGCATCCATCATAAATCTCGTTATACTTAAATATATTTCTAATAGAAGTAATTTTAAATTCTATCAAAAGGGATTTATACTTAAAATCTGTCGCAGTTCCTTTTCAAAATCTGGCCACATAAAAATTTCTATTCCCTAGCTAGTAAAAAGAAGTAGACTTTAAATGATAGTTAATTCAGTTGATTTTTAATTATGTCCTACAATGTACTGTAAGTTTAACCATGTTTCTAACCACTGGTTTCTAGTTTGATCCTTGTGGATTAAACTTGGCTAAAAAAAAAAGTAAATGGAAGGTAGTATTTACTAGGTGGTTCTTGAATAAGACTGAACACATTGGTGTATTCAAAAATGTCATCTAGGCTAACTTTTGCTAAAATCTTGGCTTCCTGAATGTTAAATTTCTTCATGGTAGTATCTTTTAGTTATTTTCTTAGGAATACTTCTCTTTAACTCTTTCATAATACTAAACAATTCCCTTTTTATTTTTTAAATATTTTGATAATTAGTTTCCAATGTAGTTGGGAATATTATTTTTTGGTTTTTATCTTCACCTTTTACCCCTTAAGACTTACACTCTTTGTCTTTTCATTTTCCATAATCTGTTTCTGTCTGAGGCTGGGATGCCAGAAGTCTGTGTGGCAGCCTGATCACCAGAGGAGGGATAGGGGCCGTATCACTGCTTTATATCAGGATGTGAATTTCTGTGAATGCCAGAAATCTATTTTTTCCTGTAATATAGCTTGTAGCACGTTCATATGTAATTTTCTGTCTCCTGTTGTCTGACTTTGTTCAGTAATAGGGCTCACAAATATCTTCTACCGTTTAATACCCATTATCTATGTATATGTGTACATATGCATGTAAAGATTTGAAAATACCCTGTGTACGGAGATAAAAGGTGTAAACTGAAATATTGGGCATTAATACCCCTTACATCAGCTCAGGCAAGCACGGCTGAGTTAGAGGATCTTCTTCTAGAGCAGGCTTTTCTTTCCCTGCTTCGATCGTAGTGGAAACGGCTCACCTTTTCAGGGGTAAAGGCACAAAGCTGGAGCTTCTGTTCTAGAGAAGCTGGAAGCAGGCTTGCCTATTTCTGCTCAACATCCTACTTTCTGCTTTCCAAATTTTATAAAATACAGTAGATGCTACTTAGTAGTAAGGTATGTGCTTCTAAAGAGAGGGGGAACAACTGAACAAAGTTGGATGGTGATCCATGGAGTAAATTTGGAATAAAATAAAAGCAAAATAAATAGGGGGAAGGTGTTGGACAACGTAAAGGGAAAATGAGTGGAGATTACAGAGCCAAGGGAAGTAGGAGCTCAATTGTGGAAGGCCTGAAAGGTGAGGAATGAAGAATTCACATTTTGTATAGGAAACAATAGTCAGCTGCCAAAAAAGATGGAAAAGGATGAATGTGTTAGAAATAATAATGGATTGCTTCTCTACTTGCTGAAGTTGAATTTTTTTTAGTGTCCCACTCAATCCATCCTAAATATGGACTTGCAAATATTACCACATCTAAGAGAAACTAGGGAGGAAGACAATTACCTTTTTTTTTTTTTTTTTAAAGTCACAGGTGTTTCAAGAACTCCAGGTTATTTATCACTAGAGTATTAAACTAGAATTTTGAATTCTCAAAGGAGAAAGTTACTATAAATGAGCTGTTCCCACAGACTTTTAAAGTACGTATATTTTATTTGGTATTTCAGCTAAGGTCTCCAATAGAGCACTGAGAAGTACCCTCTCTTCCTTAGCTGTGTGATTGCACAGTATGGAGCAACTTCACTGAGGTTGGCTTTCTACAAAAGTACAGATTTGCTACAACAGTCCTTTCAACCTGAATGGAAGTTTAAGATATTATACGTAACATACAGTTGCTTTAATTTCATCATGTTCATCCCATTCATGAACACAAGTCACCTGATGAAAGTTAAGCACACTAGTAATTGATGCCCTGAAGACAGGTAAGTGCATTCCAGAAGTGAGGTTGAGAAGTGTTTTACACTTCTTGTCCTTTAAAGTAGTATTTAAAAAACAAACAAACAAAACCCAAAACACCCAAACAAACCAACAAAAACCCCCACAAGACCACCCGAAAACATTGTGTCAAGTAAAAAAGCCAGTAAGTAAGAGAATCTGAAATTCAAAAGAAAAGCAAAAACGATGTTTTTAATAAGCTCTAAAGACTTGTGTTGTATTCAGGTAACGCTTTTGTTTCCTGTTATGATGTTTATAATGTTCACTCTTATGTTAAGCATCAGGGTATATATGTTAAAATTCTGCCTTAGTGTTTAATTAAAAAAAAACAAGCAACACCCAAAACAGTTTAATACTCTAGATCTAATTAATTTAAACCTGAAATTAATACTTCTTTCAGGATGATCATATGGTCTTGAATATATGGTATGTTAACAGTTATATATGCTTTCTAGCAAAGCCATGTAAGTAAATGCAGTCATAACTTTTTTGATATGAACACTTTTTATGTTATTTTAGTGCTTCATATGTCCCAGTACCAGAAACATAATTGTGAGGAAGGAGCTCCCTCTGATATTTGTGTAGAGGTTTCTTTGAAATGCCAGTTGCATGGGCTGGGGTATAAACTCCAGGGATTTTTGGGTTTTCTGTAACAGCTGCCCAGCTGACACTATGTCATAGGCCTTTCAATTTCTTCACATAATGCACAAAATTTCAGAGCTATCGGGAGAAATGTATTGGTGAAGCTGATTAATTACAGAGAGATTCAAAAAAATTATCAGTGTTTATGAATAATTCTTTCACACCTGCTTCATTGCACACAGTCTCATTAAGCCACCTCTGATATTACAAAGATGAAGTATAGAGAGAGTTTTTTTCAAAAAACTTACTATTTGACAGGTGTTTTCATGGGAAGTATAACTTACAGCTGCTTATCAGTACTGTCACTCTCCCTTTTATATTCTGATCCTTTCTAAAATGGTAAAAATTTTAACTGTATCTTATGTTCTACTTCTTTCCCTTTCTAATTCTGTGTGATGTCCTGAATTCTTCACAGGATTTTGCTCTCTTGAATCTTTGATTATCCTTGATTGTAAATAAATCCCTGCATTACATATAAATCCAAACGTTCAACCATTTATTGCTCTCACATTTTCTCATTTTTCCCTTTTGTCATCCTCTAAAATGTGCCTGGAACCAATAGAGTAGGTTATAACACTCATGCCTCTTTTTCATTCCCTTGAATGTTTCTGGTAATTTTGAGTGGTTAATATTGTGCAAGTTTAAAACTTGAAGCTATTCGATGTAATCACACATACTAGGGAGTAATTGCGATTCATTAATTGGATAGTGAAACATGTCAATGTGTTATGTGCCTGGTTTATTATTTTATATTAATCAGAATTTATTTCACTCTTGTGAAGCCGTTGGAAACTTAATGAAAGGAAAATCTGACGTTG